GAGGGGGGTAGTGAGGGGCGACCAGGCCGGCAAGGGGGGCAGTAAGGGGTGACCAGGCAGGCGGGGGGGACAGTTGGGGGCAACCAGGCCAGTAGGGGGGAGCAGTTGGGGGCAACCAGGCTGGCAGAGGGGGCAATTAGGTGTGATCAGGCCGGCAGGCAGAGGTGGTTAGGAGTGATCAGACTGGCGAGGGGGAGGGGGCAGTTAGGGGCGATCAGGCAGGCAGGCAGGTGAGCAGTTAGGAGCCAGCGGTCTCAGATTGTGAGAGGGATGTCTAACTGCTGATTCTCTACACACATGCATTCACACACACAAATTTGATTCCTATTCATTTATTATGCAGAAAGAACTAACACCTTAGTCTGACTTATTTTATCTGACTAGAGGTCATTTTTTCTGTCTCTCTGGGTGTCTATATTACCATAGTGCTAAGTAAAAACAAAATTTATGATGCATTCCCAGTCCTTATCCTTTATTTTTTTTAACTTACATGGAAATAATGGGTTGACCAGTCAATTCATTTAACAAATAAGGTTTGAGAAGAAGGCTCCTTTCGTTTTCATAGAGGATTTCTATTGAACCTTTCCTCTCCTTACATAAAAGAGAAATCTTCCCCAGAAGGAAGACAGGACAGCGATGGGGTTGGAGAGACGCCCCATTGGCCCCCGTGGCCCTGCTGCGCACCCCACCGTCTGCCCCATCTTTTTCCACTGCTGGTAAAGCACTTGTATAGGAACCCCCTCAGGACACATTTATGATGGACCCCGTCTTGGGACCATTATTCATCACATTGCATTTCCCTTATAGTTCTACTCTGAGAAACAAGTACCTGTAATGGTTACAAATATGTTTGTGTTCGTGTGCACCTGTGTGCTTGAACTAATATAAGGTCCCACTTTGCATCTTAGAAAAGATGCTTAGCAAGTATCCCATCACAGTGTTCTCTGTGGTGGTATTCTGCACAGTGTCTGGCATGCTACTATCTGTTCTATATGTGGGTGAGGGCTCTTAGGTGAGTGTAGTTTCCTTGGTGTTCAATCCACTTAATGGGGAGACCTGCCTCGGCTTCGCACTCTCTTCAGGTCTTTTCTCCCCCACCTCATGCTCGCTGGGCCCACCCCCCACCACAACTTCTTAGGTACCCGGAGGAGAAGCCCCCCAAACAGATGCTCCTCGTCTCCCACTGAATCTGAAACAATATTCCTCCTGCCCTGGAGGTGAAGAGAGAAAATGGTTCCTTTTCCTTCATCTATAATTTTTCCTCCCAGATCTCTCTGAAATTGAGTCCTAGGCACCCTTCATTGCTGGCTTCTTAGAACATTCTTCAAAATAAAAATAAAAAAGCTTTAAAAATTCTTAAATGACGGTCATTAGAATAACTGCATTTCAGGATTAAAGCCACGGGATGAAACCCTGTCCTTTGATCGTGTCTGCATCCCTTGGTGACCTCCTTCAGAGAGAACGCTGAAAGCTTCCATGAGGAGCCTTGTTTGAATGCATAGCCGGGGCTAAACGCCCCTCTGGCCTTGGCTCTAAAGAAAGGCCCAGTTTCCACGAACGTTTGAGATGCTAAATCAAACTAAAGAGATGATCATAAATGGTGATAAGACGCCAGGACATGTTGTTCTGGGGAGCCCATTCATCGAAGTCCTAACATCCCTCATGCGATAGGAAAAAGCAGATGCAGGTAAGACCTAGCAGTAAGGGGCAGGAATGAGCAAATATTTTGATTCAGATACTTGAGATACCATCTACTAACGCCGTAATTAATCACATAAAATGCTTTAATCATTCATAAATGTCTCTTGCCTTGACCCACTTTTCACATTGAATCACATCTCTGTTTCTGGGATAGAAAGTGGACTTTGAATACACAACACAGACATTTGTGAGAACATGGGCGAGGAGAACACTTCACTTGAAAAGGCATTCTTAGAAAATACCTCTGTATCTGGGGAAGAGGGAGAGCACTTCTCTAGAATTTGTTCATGAACACAGAAGCCATGAATGTATCATGTTAATAACAGGAAGCAAAAGATAACATGAATTGAGGTTAGTCTTGCTCCCTCTGAGCTAAGCTCTAGCAAGGCACCTGCCATGTGACCAGCCACATATATTGCTCCTAACAGAACTAACCATACACAGGAAGGACTAGAACATGGCCACAATGACACAGACACACTTATGACCTAAGCATTGTTCATCAGGGAATTTCCTCATTAGAAATGTTATTTTCTACAAATCTAGCCTTGTTTCTTACAGGTATATATACTCTATACTTTTCACTGGGTTTTTGCACCCATTGTTTTAAACAGTGGCTAAAACAGATTTTATGGTAATGTTTTGAAAAATAGATTAACTGATAAAGAGACGAAATGAATTGCCATTGTTAGACAATAGAGGGCAAAGAGCTATAGAACTCAACCCTGATCTCCCAAATCCTGCTTCGTTTCTGTAAATGGAATGGTCCGTGGTGGGCTTATCCAGCAGACAGAGTAGATGAATGCTTAAGGTCCATGGGAAACAGAAGCATCGAAATCGATATTTAAAAACTTTATATTGAAAAAACCCCAGAGTCGAAGTATTATCATAGGACAAAGTCAGCACTTGAGAAACTTTCTTAAACTTGCGTTATGGCTGAAGACGCCTTGTTGCTCTTTAACTTTGAGTGAGCTACAGTGAGGGGTGGGGCGCAGTGGCACTCCATGGCTTGTTCCTTACCCACCATTTCTAAGGTCCCTAATTAATCTGTGAACACTGCCATTGTTTTCAGTGAAAATATTAAATTCTAGGTCCATTAAGACTGAAATTCATCAGTAATGCAGAAAATACTAAGTCCCATATAACATAATTACAAGTAGAAATGATCTCTCCCATCAAAAAATACGGTAATACTTCTACATAAAAACATTGCACTAGAGCAGTGGTTCTCAACCTTCCTAATGCCGTGACCCTTTAATACAGTTCCTCATGTTGTGGTTACCCCCAATTTCATTGTTACAAATTGAACATAATTAAAGCATAGTGATTAATCACAAAAACAGTATGTAATTATATATGTGTTTTCCGATGGTCTTAGGCGACCTCTGTGAAAGGGTCGTTCGACCCCCAAAGGGGTCGCGACCCACAGGTTGAGAACCGCTGCACTAGAGCATCTTTTGATGGACTAGACAATAAAATTGGCCTCTGGAGCAACAATAGTGTAACATTAGTCATCTAAAGATAGACTGACCCCTGAAGAAGGCGGAGGATCAAATCCCATAAAGGGCACTGCTACTGATATTCCACTTATGGGTTAAAATTTAAATATGTATTTTATATCTATATCTATATCATCTATATGTATACCTATACCTATATCTAATCATCTATATCTATATCTACATCTATATCTATACCTATACCTATATCTAT